CTCCTAAATCAGATGTCACCACATTATTGATACTTTCTGTTGAATATTACAAATTTACGTCTCTTCACAAGACTGTAGACCAACACAATTGTACGCTTCTAGTCACTTTTGTAGGCAGTGGAATGCAACATAATATTGACACACTATTTAAGCTATATTGCACGTAAATTTGTTTGCAAGCATGTATCGACCCAGGTTAACTATCTGTTCACGTTGCTTGCTAGTTTGCAGCCATTCTCTTATCTCCCTAATTGTCACTGCACCAGAATAATAATATTATATTGACGAATCAGAAGACCTTCACCCTATTTTGTGTTAACCAACAAAATATTTACTAAACTACATTGTTATAGTTGTATGTTATAATGGTTGTTTTTAGTTGATTGTCAGATAAATAGTAGATGTGGATACAGGAGAGAAAATACTAGTCATGTACCTTTCTTATTTCTTACGTATATGAATTTTTTGTATGTCCCCCCCTCACATCCTAGGACGCTAGGGGAATTGTTTTACACATTACTTCAGACAAGTCCTAGAGGGGCATTAGCACATACATCAAATATATTGGTGATTCTCGGTATTTGAACCCGGGACCTCAGGCTCTGAAGCTGAAGCCTCAACCTCAGACCAGCTCGCTCTCCAACGTTTATCTGTATATAAAAGTAAGACTGTTAATACTATATGGACTGTGTTCAACCATAGACAAAAATAATTAAATATAGACCGTCAGCCATGCTGCGGTTACCATAGGTTCTGGCGCACACCACTGGGAGTGCCATGTAGTTAAGGCGTACGCGCTGCCAAACTACACGGCGCTCCCAGCAGTGTGCGCCAGATCCTCTGGTAACCATGGTAACCGCAGCCCGGCTGGCATATTTAATTCTTTTTGTCTATGGTTCAACGTATACACTTTTCTTCAACTCTTATTTCCATAACTCTTTACCCTGTATCTTAGCCATACACTGCCAAAGCTCGGCCCTTCACGAACATTAGTACAGCAGCCCTCACCAAATTCACATTAGACCTAATGTATTCAAGATTGCCCGGGCATTTCTCTCCTTTTTAATACACAAATGAGGCTTCAATGGAATTTCCTAATTCCCTCCACCACTTCGAAAAAGACATTAGCTCTGCGTGGCTTTGTGGGGAGTGAGTAGTCAGATTTCCCCTCCTCTTACTCCTCTTTTCTCCTCCTCTTTGCTGCAATCCCGCGGTCGGGCCGACTCACAGGCTCACACCTTCTAAATGGTATGCACGACTTGCGAGGCATGATCCTCTTCTAAATCCTCCTTGGAACCATTAAACCCTGTTTAATTACATTTCATGACTGTGTAATCTGATATTGTATCAATGCACGTTATGTGCAATCGTTGGGTGTAATGGCGAATTCTAACTGCTGCTGTTGATGCGGTGAAGAGGTTGAAAAGAATTTGCTGTGTAAATAATGTGAGTGACAAAAAGGGATAAATTTGTAAGTTGTACACTCAACATTTATAATTATTTGTAAAAGTTGTCATCTAAAACATTTTACTTCACTGAAAAATCGTCGTAACGTTTTTACAATACATATTTTTTTTAAACAACAAAACAATACACTTAAACAAAAAACATGATTTGTCCTGTGACTTTTATTATAGGTGGAACCCCCGCTAAAGTACCAAAAGTGTGAAGGAAAAAGATAAAATTATACATAATGTTTTTACAATTCATAATTACTTTTATCATCGGTGGAAAGAATGGATAAATAAATTCTGCAATACAGTGACGCACAAGTAAAACAGTTTTTAGTATGAATGAAGAGCGAAGAATTGAGTGTGATGACCTTTATGACATCTTAGGATCGAACCAATGACGTAATGATTGGTCACTAACCGAGTACAAACGTAATTTAACTACCGATCTTAAAATAATTGAAGCACATGATGAATGAAGCACATATTATAACTTTTCAGTGTAACTACATGTACACAACTAACTGTACCAACACTTCGGAGCAGCGCAAGCTTTTCTACTTCCATAACATCATGGTGTAACTAATAAACGTAATATAAAATGTAAATCTGCCCTCTTACTCATAAAGTGCTACAATATATTGCTAGACATTTATAAGTTTATGCAGCCCGTGTGTTCGTAACTGTATAACATACTCGTAATAACATAGCTTCTGTACTACCAGGCGTTAAAGTCACTTGTAAACCTTCTTAAGCTCGCGGCTCTTTTTTATCCTGACAAGATTAAACTCTCGTAAATCTTCTTATCTTACTGAGGAAACAAGATATTACGAACTGTGTATAGTTTTCTATTCATATTATGTTTGCTTAACATAGTGTGTTTGAGTGTCGTTGGCTATATAAGTCCAATAAGAATATTCAATGGCATTGTTTCGACTTTTATTATCATCGTTTGTCTCTCCAACGATGAATTCTAAGAAATGGACCAATGCACGGGAAGCTTTTGCGGAATATCTGCTAGACAAATACCTGCAGAACTGTATTAACACGATCTTTTACCGGTGCCCGTACAAGTTTCTTTGTCCATCAAGTCTATGGGTAATTTAACGATAGTTCAATTTGTATGTCTCTTCCTTACAAATCTTTGGAAGGAATTAAATAATGAATTAGTCAACATTTCAATATAAGCAATGTTACAGAAAATATTTAATACAGTTAAGGAGATTCCGCTTAGGCTGTTAACATTATAAAACACTGCCAACATTTTGTAAATCTAATATATAAAATTCTCGTGTCACAGTGTTTGTCTGCAAACTCCTCCGGAACGACTTCACCGATCGTTATGAAATTTGGTGTGTAAATTCTGTAGGTATGCGAATAGAAAGTAAACTATTTCCCGTTTCGAAATTCTTAAAAGGGCTCCGCCCCAGTGGCTCTGGAGTTTCCCATGTTAACCTTATGAGAAATGGAATTAATGAATCTTAACAGCTGTTTCAATTAAACAAGTTGGTTCTGTTCTATGATGTTCAATAGCATTAAAGTTACAAGGATTACCAACAGGGTGCAGCACTATTATTTCCTTTACATTTATGACAACAGCTAATTTGCAACCAAAAGGTGAGTGAGCGTAGCGAACGAACTTCAACCTGGAGGCGAGTGAGCGTAGCGAACGAGCTAACCTGAAGGCAAGTGAGCGCAGCGAACGAGCTCCAACCGAAAGGTGAGTAAGCGTAGCGAACGAGCTCCAACCCAAAGGTGAGTGAGCGTAGCGAACGAACTTCAACCAGGACGTGATTGAGCGATGCGAACGAGAGAGGCGAGTGAGCGTAGCGAACGAGCTTCAACCCAAAGGTGAGTGAGCGTAGCGAACGAACTTCAACCAGGACGTGATTGAGCGATGCGAACGAGATCATCTTGAAAAAATAACGGTACTTTCTTTCCATCGGTCTGTCTTAGGGGAAACCTATAACTTAGGTGATACGAAGTTCGCCGGGTCAGCTAGTGTTTCTATAAAACCACATCGTGTTTAATTTTAGACGCATTGAAACACCTAATATTCACCACGGACAAGTAAATCTACAAACCTTGTCAACAGCTTCTGTCCCTTGTATAGGCGTGTGGGAAGGTCAACATCGAAGCGACCTACTTGTTGTTAATTATCCGCAAATGTCAAACCCTGTTCGGAATGTTTCAACCTTTCGCTCGTATTAAAACTCCATTAGTCCATTCATGTAAATCTCGATGCATTAGAATACTCACCATTACGCCGGGCAATCTTTTCCACCTTCGTATTTAAATAGAATATCAAGGTCCCGGAGATCATTAGAGTTTTGGCTGCCTTTGTCCAGCCCTCATTAATCGTTTTTGTGTCGGCCCTTGGGTGGGGGCATTACGTCTTTTGAATGCTCGGTGATTTCCAACTGACATTTCGAAACGTGTAAATATCAAGGATAATCCATCCAGCCGTTTGCGCAGATTGTGAAACTGCCGTAAACCGAAGTGACGACGTCATCACGCTAGCACTCAACATTCACGTGTGCTTTGAACAGTTCAACCCAAGTAGCAGTGTCTCCTTGTAATCTCAAAGTATAACATCTGTTACCATTAAGGGAGTTGTATTACATCTGGTAAACAAACCGCTTTCCTCCAACCTTGAGAATTGACATAGGAAAACACTCGGACGATTCACTTAAAATAAAACCAGACGCGGTGTCGTTAACTGGCAAACAAGCTGGATCGGATTGAGTCAAAACAAAATATTTAACTTTACGATTTGGAAGTTTACAAGAGAGGTAATTGTTTTGCAAACTGAAAATCTTCTAGAACTGTTTTTCCTGCTTTTATTAATTAGTTAATCATATAGTTTACCAAACGTCTCGCGATTGCTTTGTCTGGATTTAATTTATTGGTTTTATGATTCGACTTTTTAAAAATCTTGTTGACCTTAAAATTGTTATATTTCGTTAGCAAAATGTATAGCGATTCTTATTCAAAACAGCTGGAATGGTTGATTCAAAGCAGCACGAGTGTTCAGAGTCAAAGAATTGTAAAGGAAATCAAGTAAAACATTGGAAACTTCTGAAGAAATCTCTCTACAACCTTTCAAAACAATCTATAACGAGTAATCCAATTTAGGGCGACCTTTTCTACCAACCAGAGAAAGCCATCAGCAAGACCGAGATGATCCTGTGAGAAACCTCACGTTGAGCGCTCTGGAGCCGACAATTAAGACATCCAGATTGGAGGAGGGCCTAGACTGATGGCCGAGTCTCTATTTGTTATTCTAATGATAGAGGTAACGAGCGGGCGATCCTGGCAAAAATAATGGGGGGATTTGTCCCGGAGAGCGCGTTATTGATGCTCATCATTTGTTGTTGTAATTCGATCTGTGGCTTCTGCTCGGGCTTTCTCGCTCGTGACTTGCGAAATGTAAATGTAACAGTTTGCCAGTGATTTGTTGCAGGTTCTCCGCTGGAGAAATTGTTACTATTATGTCTTGCTCGAAGGCTTGTTGGTGAAAGAGGTGCAATAATGAAATTTGTTTTACAGATGCCTGTGATCCCACGACGATGAGGGAGTCCAAGCCCTTCTTTAGAGACCATAGTAAGTATCTAGTTAGAGATTTTTATTTTAAGTTATAGCAAAAATGAATGTTTAAAAAATGTAACTACTTCCAAATTGCGAATAATTAAAATACTTCGAACCATCGTGACATATTGCTAGTCCTATATCCACGTCTCGCTTCACCCAACATGCTGCAGGCCGATCGCAGTATTCAATCAGGCGTTCTCTACCTGCCAGATCCGGCTCGAAGGAACATTTTCTACGCGGATGATCTGCAATTTGGCGGTATTCGCTAATAACGCCGGCGTCGCCCGGGCCCCGGCGCCAGGTCGACCCTTGATGCACTTTTAATTTCCACCTGTCACAAGTAGACAAGGGTTCGCTCTTCTGTTCCTAGTATCGGCCCTTCCTTTTCCCTTCCTGTGGTGAATAGATTATCGTCGATTAGATCGAAACCTCAACCTTCCCTGCGGGCAAGGCCGGCCACTACTGGGAACCTAGTCGGTGGTTATTTACTAGATGATGGGCGTTTCGATGACTAATATACCCAAATATTGAGCTACCCGGGTATCGATGCGGGATTGCCCTGGAGTCACCCTAGGCACAAAGAGTTATAATAATGGTGTGAATTATCTCTTCGGTAGCGGTGATTGTTTTTCTGTTGAAATTGCCTGGAGAGTATCAATGGAGGGTTTCCCGCAATGACTCAGTTTGTTTTTAATCTCATGGTTACGATAATGAAATATCCCTTACGTAAAAAACAGCTGATGACAGTTGATTCATCGTTTCTAAGCACTTGTTTATACATTTTAAAATTTATCCTTCATTTTTGGGGGCGTGTTACTTCTGGGACCAGTCAAAATTACGTAAAAGAGTAAAATGAATAAAAAAGGGAATTAAATAGTCATCACGCTGCAGGTCGGCGGCTTTGGCCCTAATGACACGGCGTTATCACTCATTTACTTAGCCGGGACGTTTGCTGCATTATTTAAGGCAATTTGTCCAAATGCTCGGTAATCCTTGTCGCCGAAGGAATCATGCGAGTAACAATTTGACGTCTGGGTTTACTCGAGTCGTTAGAGACAAACAATCCCAACAAGAGGTTTGTTTCTGTTTACTACTTGTTTAGCACAACTTACTAGTCTAGTTATAAACAACAATGAATACAAATTTCTAAGATTATTAATTCTTCTTAACCTTTATTCTATCAACCTAACAGATTTCTATTCTATAAAACTTTCCAATCTTCTAATTTTAATGTTATAACTATTCTTTATCGCTTGATATTTTAACCAACGATTAGTTCTCACCATCTTATAATTATACTATTGGAAGTACCATATTGCACTCCTATTCCTACGTAGTTCCACCTCATAACTTCAACTCTGTCCTATGATCTTCGTAGCTTCCATGACTAAGGACTAAGGACCAATCCAACTAAGGATTCTTTTCTAATCATTTACCTCTCCCTCATGAAACATCTCAGTCACGATATAGTCGATATACATATATGAGTGGTCCCTTCTTGAATCTGCTACCACTTCCATAACCATCAAACTCTCATTGACCCGGTGGTGTTTTTTCGCTGAAACATATTCTTTGATCTCTCTTTATTTAAACGTTTTCATCTCCTACTTCTCCACACCCCAACATTGCACTCCTATCTCTGCATCTTACCGCAAATTCTCTTCTTTCTCTGACCCATTGACTTCTATGGCATATTCACAAGTTGAAGCATGGACTCTCTAAATCATATTCCATCCAAGTTCTTCTTCGACAACCTCAAGTATACGTAGAGGAGACCCAGTTGAAGGCTACTCCCACCTCCACAGCCTTCTCGAGCTTCGGTAATGTGCGTTGTTCCATGTAGTCTAATCACAGTGCCAACGATCTGCTTGACCCTGCCACGTTCCTTTGATGATCCAACAACCGAAATCGCTTCACGCGCGCGCCGCCCGCTATCCCATCCTACATATTGTTCCTTACAACCAAACTCATACTTGTCTTTTTTTACTGGGGGTTTAACACGGTTTAGCTTACGCAAGACTAAAAGGTTTTAAAGACAGAACAGATTTACCTTCTCGCTTGTTTAACTGATATTATTAATGTAGGACAAGATTAAATCATCTGTGGTTATTGTCCAATCCGATCAGCTGATTCTCCCGAATGATTGATGTACCAGCTGGGTGGCTGCTTGGCGGGAGTTTCTTTGACCTGTGACACCTCTAGAACAGGCAGTAATTGATTATCTCAATGCAAAGATGACTACAAATTAATCATGAACTTGTCGGATGTTGTTACATCAAGACTAGTCAGACGTCAACCAGTAAGCAGATTTGTTAAAAGAAATACAACATTTCTTATGTTTGTTTCACTTCGTTCCTCAAATGTTGTTTTTACCTGTTCAATGAGCAAAAAGCGATTATCTGGTACTCGTTCTACTTCCAAAGACTTCGAAAAAAGTAACAAAGTCACCAACCTGACCTTGGAGTTTCCAACGCTTTTCCCTGAACGCTTTACATAACGGCAAGGAAATTAGACAATAAGCAGGTGAAATACCCAGTTTGCTCGAAGGGGCAGGCACGACAACGCTGCATGAAGCCACGCGGTCCCTACCGTGTGTCGATACGCAAATTAACGACCAGCGGAAACCCACATGCGTGCTCATAATTGAGAGGACATTGCGATAATTACAAACCTCTGTTTCCGGGACGAAATTACATTCTTGGTTCGCTGACATGGGACGACATGCCAACATGTTAATCAATAAACGAATGCTCACAGGGTAATTTAATTTCCATTGGATTGTTCTAGGAAAATTTAAATTGCTTTGACAGGCTTAGTTAGCATTCTGTAATGATTATTGTACATGGTTGGTAGTGTAGATTCAGTCACTAAAAAATAGAACACGTGTGTTTCTGTTTTGTTGTTAAATAACATTTTTACAAATTTTAGTTGCAAATACTCAAGGAGACTTAGTTCGAAGTACAAATGATACTTGGTTTGTTTCTGATGATTAATTCCCATTTGGCTCTATCGTACCGTAAATACCCACCTAAAAATGAGTGTTTTAATTTGTATATGTTTTGATGCATCGAAAAGTGACAATATATTTCCTATCTGTTTGAGCTTCTCAACTGAAGAATATTAATTGATTTAAAATGTCAAAGACGATTATGAGGTAGCTCAAGTTCAGCTTTTGAATTTTAATTTAAAACTTCTTCTAGAGAACAATAATTCAGAAACTGCCGAACCGAAATCTTTGACATGTTGTCTTAAGGCACCAAAACCAATAATTGAATAGTCAAATTTCGATACAGGTTCCCCAACATTATTGACACGTTGCCAGCGGAAGGACGTTCACCGAAAGTTCACCTCCCCCCCTCCAGAGGTCGCGTGCCTGATAAAACAACCCTTCCGTCACGCGCAGGCCTCGCGACTTCCGGTTGGTTTAGTGGGCCCGGCACGAGAGGGCTAGATATCATGGAGGCGGTGGATTGCTCTTGAGAGGGTAGTTATCTTGTAGGCTGTGATTATTTCATACCATATTACTCGTACGAGAGAGTTATTACAGATGAGACTGGAGTAAGACTGTACATTTTTTGGTATGAGTGGTTAGTTGGAAGGCTAAGGATTTAGCCTACACTAAGTGTAATTATGACTCACTAAGAATAAATTCGGGTGCAGCATCGCTCATATTTTCTTCTAATTTAAACAAGGAATCTGGATTCTTAGTGCAAGAATTATTTATGGTTTGAATTAAACGAAAGCACAGAAAACATACTACTATAACCCGAAAGTTATGTTGATTTGCCAGCTTTAATTACACATGTTTTAAAGTCGCACACTTTTCACCTGTGGATCTAATACATTTCTCACCAATATATTTTAATGCTTTACCAAACATCCACCTGTATAAACCATTAAGTATAACAATTTAAAATATAAATTACAGATTCGAATTTGGCACCGGATTTTCACTAAACGCAGTAATTCTCAACTATTAACGTTCTGTAATTTTAAATGTTGAAAACAAGACTATTTGTACTCTGATATTTCCTGAAATGACTAGTAAAATATTAAGAAACGGTAGAATAAGCACAGAACTTAATACACTTGCATCTCATATCCTAAAAATCTCCTCCCAACTATTAAATATGTAAAATACTACACACTCTCCGTTTTCTGTTACAGAACAACTACTACAACTATTCATTTTTGAATCAATAATTTGATCCGGAAGTGCAAATTATATACTGTTCCATCATAACTATCGTGTTCAGACACTCTGGACTACTGTTTGTATAATTAGGCAGGTTCCTAGGTTACAGACAGCTGGGCAGATCTTAATGAGTGATAACTATTTATAATGGCTACTTTGTAGTCATTGGGTGGCTGATGCGTAACCCCGCATCTTCGCACCGAAAATTCGTATTTTAATGTCATTGTTGAAGAGTTTTCTGCAAAAGTTTTTGAGCGATGGCATCTATCTTTTTCTTATCCATGATCTTCGGAGCTATATCGTCTGCCTCACTTTAGCTGTGATATTGCAGATTTTTTCACATTAGGTGAAGTAATTAATAAAATATACATCCCTAATAAACGCTAGTTTTCAGCCCAGATGGCACTAGAGTTATGTTTGTGAGTTAAATAGATGATATACTTGCACTATCGCTGAACGCAAGCTCTCTCCACTCCATCTTGGGCGAAGTGTCACTTCGTTTGGTCAACTGTTAATTTATAGGAGATTCTTTGATGACTGCTGTTTTGTTCTTTGACGTAGACGCTTTTACCTCCTGAAATGCGGATTGGGTTTACTCTAAAGTTTACAAAAATTCATGGAACATCGTACGAAAAAATATCAATAACTAATTAAATATCAAATCTTGCTCGCAAAGTATAACAGCAGTCTCAACTACACCGGTTGCTAAACAACAGAGAAGTACTTTTGGCGGGTGCTGAGCGCAAATTCGCGGTCATAATCCCGCTCAACACCTGCTCGGCTATTGTCGGGGTTATGTAATAAGTCTAATGGTGAC